GGCCCGCCGGACCAGGTAGCCGCGGCACCGCGCCTGGAACTCGATGACCCTCCGTCGAGCCCCGCGGTACTGCTTGTGGAGCTTGCGGGACCGGTACAGGGCCTGCAGCCGCAGGAAGCCCAGCCGCATCTGCAAGGGGGAGCAGCATGAATGCAGCCCGGCGCCCAGGGGCTCCCAGGTTCCCCTCGCTGATCACCCACGCCTAAACTTGCAAGGGTTGTAAAGAGGAGCCATGGGATCGGGCTCCGTCGGGACAAGGGATGTTCTCCCAGAGGGTGGGGAATGAAGCCCTCCAGGTGCTGCACTGATTCGAAGGCCGGGAAGGACAGAGGTGGGTTCTTCCCCACTGAGCCCTCCAGAATTTCTGCCCGTGACAGGCCTCAGGAGGTCTGGCTGGTTGCCTCAAGGTAGCCATGAGCCATGAGGGTTGCTCCCGGAGACATTCAAGATCAGGCTGGATGAAGCTCTGAGTAGCTTGATCTAGTTGGAGGTGTCCCTGCTTGTGGTGGGGGGGTTGGACTAGATGACCTTTGGAGGTCCCTTCCGGCCCAGGCATTCTATGATTCTGTGATTCTCCCATGGAGGCCCAGCCTCTGCAGACCTCCTACCTAATGGCCAAGATACTGTTTCAAGGCAGGAGGCAGCATCCTGGTCAGCCCAGAAGTAGCTATTCCCATCAAGCTGCAGGCTTGGAGGATGTTATTCAGACATTTTAGACCCCTACAAACTCCCTAAATGAGTTGGGTCAAAGACCCAGGAGGAAGCCAGATACGGTCCCACCTGGAGATGGAGTTTGTCTTTCCGAGGAAGCTGCGCTTGAGTTTTCAGTCACCTGGCAACTAGGGGAAGACTTAAAACACTGAGTGACCAGATGGTGCAATGGACATCTAACTCCTGGGGAAAACAACAGCTAGAAGGTGGTCAGGTGCTCTCTTCAATGAGAAGGCAAAGCAGCAAGAGCAAACCTCCATTCATCTCTCCAGCTGACAGAAGCCAACCCCACTCCCTCCTACACTCAGTGAGGCATTTTGAGGCTGGAAACTCTAATGTATGTCCCAGCTGAAAGAGGTAAGAAGGCAGAGGTGTGAGGAAGCACCCCTGGACTTACAGCACCATAGTTCTTCCTGCAGTTATGTCCACGCCAGTATCTCTGAATCATCAGGACTGAATTTCTCACTTTCAGGAAATTTGACCTGCAAAAGCATTTCAGTCACTCACCTCTGTAGTTCGGCCACAAGTTACCATCATCTTCTGGGCCTCATTCTTTGGAGATTTGAAACTGAGCAGCTAGGTGGGGTAAATGCTGCATTTTTGGCCTGAAAAAGTCTCTTCTCCCAGATCTCCTTGCTTTCATAAAAAGATTTGTAAGGGCTCTTTCTGATAGGTCTCTGCAGGCAGATTCTGCCCAGTTATGGGAATGGGCAGAGCAGAAGACGCTGAGAATGGCCCTCTCCTTCCCCCTGTCCTGCATATTCCTCTCACATCTGAAATCTCTTCCCCCCCTGCTTTCCCCACTTCAATCCTGGCACCTGAGAATGGACTCAGTCTCACCCAAATGATCAAGAGCAAACTTCAAACTTCCTATCTTCTCTTCCCATCCACCTTAGCCTGGCCTGATTCTACCTGTAGACACCTCAGAGACAGTTGTGTTGGAAGGGCTCACTGGAATTAGTGTGGAAAAGCTTGCTGAGTTATTTAGCACGTGCCCTTTCTGCAAAGCCTTCTCTAGGCACAACCTGAGTCACAGCCATGGCTCAAAGAGTCAAAGAGTACAAAGCCACAAGAACTGTCTCTCCTCCATGACTGAAGCTTGTCCTTGCCTGTGGCTCCTTCTCTCTTTCCATAATTGTGCCATGAGCTCCTCATGGGCTACCTACTCTCAAATCTGGCAACTGGGTTGCAAAGGGAAGAGTCCCAAACCCATTGGGTTTTGAGAAGAGCAACGTTAGTCACAGTAGATGACCCAGTGGTCCCACTGCAGTCTTGTGTCCCCAGAGACTGGAGGCTTAGTGTTGCCTTCAGTAGGCTCAGAGTCCTACTGCTGCATTATCGTAGCAAACACCAGCTCCTCTAGAGACAGCACTGAACAGGAACAGAAGGTCCTATTCTGAACATGCTTGACTCAGGTAACACAGCTTTCCTCTTGCTTCCTCTACTGTTTTCCTCTTGCTGCACCCTGAGTGGCAACACTTGAGGGCTCCCCTCTCTGGCTGCAGGCAGGACAGCTCAGATGGACGCCGAGGGAGTGATGCATCCCCCAGTAGCTGCTTGCTGAGTGAAGCATCCCACACAGTCCACCTCCCAGCTGGCAGTGGGGCTCACACCTACCTGTCTTTAAACCCGCGGACCACCTTCTGGATGAGGATGACTTTGTCTGTGATGGCCTTGTCTCTCTCAATCTCCAGCAGCATGTCGTGGTGGTCCTGTGGGAGGAAGCGACACAGCACCCGTGTCTCAAACTCTCCATCTGTTTGATGTGCCAGGAGGGGTGGCATGAGACCCCTCCCCAGAGGAGATGTCCAAAATAAACTCTTGGGACATTTAGATCCCAAGTATAGCTCCACCTATACCCTGGGGAAATCCTAACATAAACCCTAGTGACTTACTGCCTTCATTCCCCAATGAACCAGAGCATCCAGAAGCTGAATGTGCAATACTTTATAGTCTGAAAAGAACCAAATTATGTTGCCCTCCCGTGCAGAGCTCCCTGCTACTGCTGTCAGCCATGGCAGCAGTTCTCAGGAACACTGGAGAAGTTTGAGAGCAAACTCCAGGCTGCCTGGGTCTCATCTTCCCTCTAGCTAAGGCCCCAATGTTTCCATACCCTAAGGCAAAAATAGCTCCCCAAAACACTGAACGCTTTTGCCCTGAGGCTTTTGGATGCACCAGTCCAAGCTTTCCACTGATTCTTCCCATGCCGTTTGTAATGTGTCTGCTGAGCCCTGCCTTGGGTGCAGCAGAGGCAGCTCCACGTGCTTCCTGCTTTGCTTGACCTCACGCGGCCCCTCGGGGCCTCCCCATTTCTCTATTTCCTGCCCTGACAGCTGGGAGATCTTGATAACAGTGTCTGGGAAGAGCCACTAGCAGGAACAGCTTCTAGGGAAGAGATGGGATGTTTGTGCTGGTGATGGGGTTGAGGATTGGGGGCAAATTGGGATAGGTATACATATACACATACACGGGGTTAAGGTTTTCTGCCGAGATTTTTGCTTGAGAGAAGCCTTTGCTTCCAACCTGTTCCTGACCAGCTCAGCCTCATCCTCCCAGAGCAATGCAGGAATGGGTTTGTAAGGAGAGATGAGAGCAAATGAGGCTTCAGAGGACCTGCAGTGTTGGGCTGCTCTGGGTCAGCCGGACCAATGCAGAAAGGGAGGCTGTGGGCACATCTCAGGCTGTGCAAGGACGTGCTGAAAGCAAAGCAAGCCTGTTGTGCTCTCGGTCCTGCTCTCCACAGGGCTCTGTGTGGACAGCCCTCCTGCTGCTGTGCCCTTTGGGTGAAGGCAGGAGATGAGTTTGAGCAGCTGAGCCCAGCAGGGAAAAAGCTGTGCAGTGTATGGGACTGTTTCTGTCCCCACATGGGTATGAGCATGCAGCAGTGCTGGCAGAGTGCCCGGACTTCCTCCTCTCCATCACTTCCTAAACTGGCCCCAAATATCCTGCCTTGGCCCAGGTTCTACCCACTCCCATACCAGCCCAGAGACCGTGGGAAAGGATCACATCTTGTGATGGAAAGGGAATGTAGGAGATCCCTTCACAGGTAAGGGTCCCAGATGGTGGGTGGGGGATGTGGAGAACCACCTACCTTCAAGAAGATCTTTGTCTTTCCAATCTGCCAGTCGTCATCCTTCCCAAGTACTGCCTCAGCAATGCGCTGGCACGTCCCACGCAGGTCACCCTGGCAAGACAGAAGGTGGGATTCACCAGGACCAGCCTCACCCATCACTCCTCCTAAGCCCAGCGGGGACTCTTCCGGTCCCGATTCCAGCAGCTTTCTGCTAATGAGGTTCCCGGGGCTTTACTGTCATCCCATTTAAGGTGAGTGAGAGGTCCAGACTGAATATGGCTGCCTGTCTCTGCCAGCCCCAGGAGCATTTCTGCTTCTCTTGGAAAGCCCGGAGCACCACCGTAACATCTGGGGATGAAACGTTGCACAGCTGCTTTTGGAGGTGACGCACAGCCCAGAAATACCTCTGGAGAGCCCAGCAGAGAGCAAGTTACCCTGGAAGAAGCTGCTCACCTGTTTATATGCTGGCTTCACCCCGGGCATGAGCACCCGGTAGCGGTCCACGAACTCCACGAAGGTGTAGCGGATGGGGTAGCCGGCCCGGCGGATCCGGATGGTCTCCATCATCCCCGAGTACCTCAGCTGGCGGACGCACAGCTCCCGGTCAAACAGCTGGGGAGGTCACAGGACATGGTTGGATGGCACCTCTCGACCCGGATTTGCCATAAGAGAGAGGGGACTCTGAAGGTGTGTGGGGGAAGAAAGTTGAGGATCCACCCGAATCCTTCACTTGATGGACCCAAGGCCATAGGAGGATTGGCCGTCATGGGCCTGACCCGATGGACTGCTGAGTGTGTTTGACTCACTCCATTTAATTCCCAGTTGTGGGACTGGGTGTGTCCTGCACATGACACAAAGGACTGAGAGGAGAGCTGGAGAGCACATTGCAACGGTGAACATCACCTTGGGAAAATGGGCAGTGATGTTGCACCTACAAGGGCCAAGCCATAGGAAATCCATCAAAGGAAGAGTGCAGCCTTGGAGATGCCAAGGCCCTGAGATAAGCCTGAAATTGTCAAGCCACCCTGTACCCAGGAGCACATCTGAGGAGCTTAAACCAAACAGGTCAGAACCAAGACCAGATGAGGGTTTTATGGAATGGACAAATCACAAACCAGCATCTGTGGCTGCTTCAGACAAGCAACGGACAGTTTCAAGGCCAGAGAGCAGACATAGGTGACCCAGTCCTTGCAGATGTTGGCTAACAAACCTGGCTGCTCTCCCTTACTTCGGGTGCCTCAGGGTGGATAATAAGTGGTGCTGCTAGATGGGCAGATCTGCTGAGCAAAGGGAGGTTCAGGAAAGCCTCTGACATGACTTAGTGCATTGAGGAGGATCCTGGAGCCCTGAGAGCACTCTCTTGCAGCCTGACATTGTCTGCTGGCAGCATCCAAAAAATGTCCAACCCAAATGTAAAAGAAAGGCAGAGGGGACGTGGTGCTGGCACACCACAGTAAGTCAGGTGAGCAAATCCCAGCCTGGGATAAAGGGTTTCAGCCAGGGTGTTATTCATCTGCTGTCTTTTCAGCTGTCTCAAACATGAGCATCTGTGCACGTATGAACATCTAAAACAAGAGGCACTTGGGCTCCCCATGAAGTGGGTGAGAAGAGCTAGGTTCGTGCCTGTATCCCAGATATCCCTATATCCCAGATGCATCTCCTGGGACAGAAGGATCTGCCCTATGGATGCAGTCATCTCCCCATCCCTGGAGGGAGCTTTTTTGACTAGCTTGTAGCAGCCACTTAACCATGAAAGGGCTGGAGTGAGGTGAGACAGATCCTGATCCCCGGAGAAGACAACAGATGAAAAGACAACAAGGAAAAGGCAGAAAGTGGCACCGTCTCGATTTGGTCCCCAGCTAACCCTATCCAGTGCCAGTGGGCACTGGGGACAAGAAAGGTGCTGAGGCTGTGTGTTTCTTTGTGCCCTCCTGCCATGCAGCAGAAGTGTGTGTGAGCAGCTGTGGCCTTGCAAATAACCCTCCAGAGCTTGTAGGGCTAGTTCATTGCACACGTGGGCAACTATGTGCTCGGGACCTGGCGAGGCACAGGCTGCTGGAGACATTTTTGACCTTCTTTGCATGGCTTGCTGCTTAATTCATCCCACACATTTCTCTTGGACTAATCAGAATAACAGAGCAATGCTCAGGAACAGCAATGTGGGACAATGCACAGACCCAGAGAACTCCAGCCAGCATCCCAATACAAACAATTTTTTTCCCCCCCGTTTAGCACATTTTAGAAGGAAACAAGAGTTTTAAAATAACATAAAGTAACAAACAGTCAGGACTTTCCACTGACCTTTCACTTCCCACTATCCTGTTTCCTATCACTATCAGCACACTTTCCTTCAAAGCCAGGGACAGAAAATGAACTCCCAGAAAATGTTCTCTTTTACAGTCACCCTGCACAGCACTGTGAACCATTATCTGGGTCTTTTTTTGTCCTCTTTGCATTATTAAACCAAGGCCAAAAATTAATTTAGGAAGAAATCACATTTCATATCATATAGCACTAGTCTCAGGTTCTGTCTTAGCTCATCCACTCATTAATTTAATGGGATATTGATTCACTTTGTCCAATTCTTTCAAACTTATAGCTGTTTTCATGTCCTACTGAAAGTTTTGTAGATAAAGAAGTTGGACAGAGAGTTCTGGCTTAGCACTTGCCAGAACTGACGAAACACATATTTCCTACCCAAAATGTCAGACTGAATCCAAGAGGTCCTAAAAGCAGCTCAAAGTCAGGGCAATGGGAACAAATTGTTAACAGCAGTTCAGGCTGTACATCTATTTCTCAACATCACCCATGTTCTTCAAGAAGGTCTCATTTTGATCTCAGCTCAGATGATAATCTCAGATCAGACCTATCATTAAATATTAACCCAAAGTATTCCATTCATATGCTATTAGGTACCTTTTTGTGCTCACTAAAACTAGGATAAGGGCAGAGTAAACTGCTCTGAGAGAGCCACCAAGCTTTTTACCCTGCAGGATATTGGGGTCACTGAACAACAAGAATAAATTTCAAACACTGTTTTTATGGAACAGCTCTGAAATCTGGGATTTTCTGCCTGTTTTGCACTTACTTGAGCTCTGCTAACAAACCTTAACTTTAGATAAAGCTCCAGCTCTGGCTAGATTAACTGCTACTGAAGTTTGAAGGCATGGGCACAGTGATCCACAGAAAGAACTAGCTGAAATTATTAACTAGAGCTCTTCCTCCCCAAGCAATATCACTATTAAGAGTGGTGAGCAGCTAACAGTGATTGCTAAGAGCACCAGGGGCCAATCCTGCAAGGTGCTGACAGTGGCATCGGGGCATTCAGCACCCCCTTTATCATCTACCTTTCACTACAAAACTTGTGAGTCCTCAAATATTGTGGTCAGTGGGATTTAATATACAGCTATCTCCTTTTCTTTCATATGCTCCTTAAAGTTTTTCCCCAGGGTGTCTGTTGCTTTTGAAGCAACTGTCTGGGAATCAGAGCAGAAAATAATTCATATCACCTTTTTTTTTTCTGTGCTATTTTGCCCCTTTTCCCTCTGCTTTTAGAATTGGTGCTAAAAAAAAAACCCAAACAGCTGGAATAATCTAACAGAGGTGAAACCAAGTGAGAACCCCTGGGAGCAAAGATTTTGTAGAAAACACCTGCAGGAAGGGAATCACTTTTAGGAAACACTGAACCCTGCCACAGGACTAATCCCAGGGCTCTACAGCTCACTATATCTCTGGTGGGGAGGCACCTACCCCGGCAGAAATTCAGAGGCATTTCCTATAGGAGAAAGGGCTGGGGGGTGAATTCCTTGAGGTCATCCTTGGGAAGAAAGGTAGGACCAGAAGCTCCCCTCTGCAAAAAAGTTTTGGGGGTGCTGTTGGGTGGCTAAACAAGTGCCTGATTCTGCCAGCCTTTTGGTGACTCCCTTGCTTGCAGAACAAGCTGTGGGTTGGTTGTCTAAGCACCCAAGCTCAGTCCTGACTCCATGGATGCTCGAAGGAGTTTTGCCATTAGCTTCAGGGCAGAGTGACCAACTAGGAGAGAAAATCAGGACTTACCATGGGCTTCTTGTACTCATTGGGCTTGATGCAGCGGACAAAAAAGGGCTGGCACACGCTGAGGGTCCTCATCAACAGCTCCAGGGACCGCTTGAACTGGCTGCTGAGCGTCGGCGAGCGCTTCCTCGTCTCTGCTCCCTGCAAAACCCCAGTGGAGTGAGCTCAGGAAATGAAAGGATAACAGTGCCCTTCCCCTCCGGAACCTCCCACCACAGCCGGGGCCGGAGGAGCGAGCAGGGCCAGAGGTGCCCAAGGGCAGGAGAGGGGCAGGACAGAGCCAGCGAGCTGGCAACGGCTGGACTCCGTCAGCCTGCTCCGTACTCCTCTACCCAGGGAGAGAAAGTGCCATAGCTTAATTTCTCCTGCTCAAATCTCCCCGTGTGACTGGCAATCCCGTTCGCCCTATGCAGAGCCACAAAGAAGATCTGCCCAGGAGAGCAAACAGCTCTTCCAGGGCCATCAAAAATCTCTGTATTGCAGCTTGGGGCGATGCATCTCCCCAGGGATGCTCCTCGGGCTTGGCTAGGGCTTCCTTGCTCCCATGCACCACAGCACGGTCATGCCAACCCTTCTGTCATGGTGCCTCATGTCAGGCTGAGCCTCTCCTGCTTCCTGGGGTGTAGGACCAGACACCCATGTAGGGCAAAAACAAGGAGGGGCACTTCTGCTGCAGGGTGACTCCGCAACAGCTCCAGCAACTTCTGTTAAGGTCTTTAGTCCTCAGCCTGTACTACAGGGGAAGATTCAAGCTGTGTTTGGAAAAAAGTATTCATTAGAGTAAATGAGGTGGCTGTTTCTAGTGAATCCAGATGATTTTGAGTATTTGGCTTGGTTAAATTAATAATCCAATCTCCATTTTAGAGCAAGTGTTTCTAGAGCAGAATGGAGATGCTTCCTTCAACAGCCCCTCCTCCCTGCTCTGGGAGAACCTTGTTAAACCACCTCCAAACTAAACGAAGCCCTCAGCTCATTTTATGTGCCAGTCACTGTTACCTGAGCTGATCACACATCAATCACAGTGGTGCTGTGTGTCTTGTAGGGTCTGGTGCTCAGGGAGCCTTTATGGGGCACCAGGTACTGCTGGTGGTTTGGAGGAAGAGTTGGGCACCAGGATGCAACTCTCTCCAAATAAAAAACAGGGCAAACTGTGACATAACCAGTGATGTGACCTGATAGCCAGGGATTTCCCAAAGGGAGGATTCCAGCAGCATTTTAATGCATTTTTCCTCCAAATATCCTCCTTTTTGCAGGTGATCAAGCCATGCATGGAGTCACAAAGTCCCCATTTGCACTGGCCTTGCTGATCTGTTTTGCCAGGTGGTGAGTTTAGTGTCTGCTTTTGCTAAAATCTTTATATGTGCTTCATTGTATAGCACTAATAACCTGTTAGATAACATTCCCTCTCCCCTAAACCTGATGAATTTCATAGAAGCACAAAATAGTTTGGGTTGGGAGGGCGTGTAACTATCATCTAGTCCAACCCCCTTGCCATTAGGCAGGGAATTTGCATGGCTGAGGTGGAATATGACGTTGAGACAAATCAAATCAACACAAACACAAAGTCATCATGGAATTCCAACAAGAGAAAACCCAGCTCATGCACATACCAGAAAAACCTGGCCTCCTTTTCGAGAAGAGCATGGGGGGGCTACATTCTGTCATAGATTTGATGAGGAATAGGCTGTTGCAGCAAGAATCCTGGTTTGGATAGCTTTGATTAATGTTTTCTTCTCACTTTGCTAATTAAGGGCAAAGGGTCACCTCTGTGAAATGTGAAGGGAGAGCCACAGGGGTTAGAAGCAGCAACAGACACAGTAGCAGGGCTGGAAGCTGGAAGCAAACGGATGTTAGGTCAGGTTTGTCACTTTGGGCTTGGCTGGGAGAGGTTGTTTTACAGCCATAGTGGTAGGAAGGGTGCAAGACTTTGTACAAGGATCTACAAGGTAGATCTAGGAGTGGTCTGCTCCCAGACAGCAAGACCTGCCTCTCTAGGCTGCTGATGCTTTGCATTGCTTCCTTGCATGCATCCAGCTCTGGTAAAAAGCAGTGGTGCCATCTTCACCCTTACACCTGAGAGCTTTTTGCCGGGAGGGGCTGGAGGGAAGAGACAGTGGACAGAAAGCAGGTTGTCTTCCTATCCAAATTGTCAGAGTTGTCTGGGGTCCTCCAGTCAAAACTACCCCACCCCACCCATTCTTATGCTTCCTGGGCCTGACATTTGCACACAGACCCCTCTCAGTGGTGAGCATCAGCCCCACGAGCATGAGTCAGGCTCTCAGCTACAGCCCAAACCCTCGGGCAAGAGCTCTGCATCAGCCTCCTCCTGCAGGGAAGGGTGACATCACTGAAGTCAATGTGATTACTCCTGCCCCACCTCCACACCAGTATGGGGAGAATCAGCCCTCTTCCCTTATTCCAACAAAATGGCACAAAAAAGTTGAGTGGAGCAGCCTGACAGCCCAGACTGCTGAGGCACTGAAAATACAGCTTTTACTGCAGAGAAGGAGCATTTTTTAGCTCAAAACAGACCCAGTCCCTATAGCCTAAAGCAGAAAGAGCTGAACAGGTTCTTCTTTCCTCCTGGCCAGACATGGTTTAGCTTTCAAACTCTGAGACTGTAGTCTCTTTGGGACACAGACTATCTCTTCACTGGTGTCCACAGAGTCTAGCACACAGGATGACATGACGTGTGTGTCATGGGGAAGGAAGGACAAGCAGGATTCACAGCTGCTGTAGCCCAGCCTGGGGCACTCAGTAACCACTCAGCTTGTGCTCAGTATCAAAGGAAAAAAAGAAGCAGATGAGATAAATAAGATAAAGAAGAGGATCACACGATTTACAGAGAAGCACCACCTCAAAAGAGATGTTCAGAAAGATGTGCAGACCAGCATGACGTTCAGACATGCTTCAATGCCCATGCTTTCTGCCACGTCAAGCCAGACAGGCTTTAGAGGTGCAGAGATGTGGTTTTTTGCAGCAACATAAAGACACACGTCAAGTCAGAACATCATCAGCAGAACACAAGATGATGTTCCCCCAGCATGAGATCCCCGGTGGCACAGCTGGAGCATCAGAACATTTCCCAGCATCTCTGTGAAGCTGTAAAATCTCTAGGACCTATTCAGACTCCTTCCTTTGGTGTCTTGAACACATTTAGGTACTTACGTGTCCAGGGCTGAGAAAGCAATAACCAATTCAGCCTATCTGCATCTTATGGGCTCATAACACAAAGTTATGTTAAGCAGGATGGTCTCAGTGCAGACCCAGAGTTCCAGCTAGGGCCATCACCAGGGTTTTTTTATTTTGTAGCATTCAAACCAAGTAAACAGAAGCAAAGAGAAAAGCAAGAACAAGGAGAAATGTCACTGAGCCAGAAATGGCAGGAGTTAATCCTCTGCTGTCCCTCTGCACCTTCTCCTCCCACTTTAAGGAGAAGGCTGCAAGATGCACCAGGATTGCTGTGCTCGGCACTAGGTCTGCTGGGGAGATGGTGACCTGCTTCAGTGGGAATGCAGAAAGATGAATTACTTCAGGTGAGTTAGGGAAGGAGAAAGAAGCATGTGCTAACAATATACTGAGGAAAGGTTCTGGACAAAGGACCATCCTCCCATATCTTTAGGATAAGAAGTCACTAAACTGGGCCATGCCAACATGACATGCTCTTTATCAGCCTTTTTTTCTGAAGCCTCCCAAAAAATCATGCTTTCTGTTTTTTATTTTGTGATATGAAATGTCACTGGGGTGGCCTCCAGTTGACCAGTGAAAGCTGAGGCCCCCTCACAGCAGGTTCTGCAGTGTCACCTAGTGAAGAGACAGTCTGTGCAGCCTAGGAAGTGCCTTCAGATGCAAAGATGACATGGACTACATAACAGTGCCAGGTGTCACTATTTTGAACTAAAACCTCATTTTATAAAACTTACTGATGTTGACATATTTGAAAAATCTTTTTTGGCTTGGCTGTTCCACCCTTGCCTCCTTGCCTAACAAATCCAATTAATTATTACTAATTAGAAAACCTTCAAAACAAGAGGCCATAATATCAGAACAACTATGACAATAGAAAAATAATTTTCAAAAATCATCAGCCTTATGTCTCCCATTTCCTTGTAATTCCTGTTGTTTTCTTCAGAGCCAAAAAAAAAAGGCCTGGGTATTTATGACAGATTTTGCACACCAATTCTCTCCTGGGTTTAATCTCACCATAATGTAATTCAGGAAGGATTTCTGTGCATTTTTTTGGTGTGTAGCATTGCTACAACTCTAGAGCAGGAGCCAGTGAGATGTACAATCCAGTCTGCAGTCATCATATGCAGAGGAGGGAGTCCAGTTGTGGAATGATGTAGGGGAGGGAGTCCAGCTCTGGAATGCATGGCTTTGGGTTATTTTGGATCAGATTCCCCTCATTGGAATTCCAAGTCCAAACATCTGAGACATTGCAGAGATCAGAAGGGTTGAAATTCAGTCCCATGCAAGGATCTGATTTCTGAAAGTCAGGTCTATCTCCAACATTATCCTCTTGTTATCAAAAGACTGAGATGTTGAAATGTGAGCAAGAGTCTTCAAAGCTAACATCAAAACCCTTTAGCACACAGTATGCTACCCTATGGCCAAGTATCTAGCAAGAAAGGTTTGGGAAGGTATCAGAACCAGTCAGGAGATAAGATGCAACACAAAAGACCTAAAAAAGGTGCCAAGAACCTGTTTGGATGATCATGGCAAGGTTCCATATTAACTCTGTCTTTGAAGGCTTGGATTTCTCTCCCCTGCACAAGAACTAAACCCCTCCAAGAGTGATAGCATTTCCAGGCAACCCAGAAATACAATCCATGAATCTCTTTTTGAACTGGCAGCTTCCAGCCCCAGAAAGGGGCAAAACAGTGCCAGATTTGCAGTTGCATATGGAAGAATAATGTCCCACTGAAGCCAGTGGTGGCACCACTGTAACAGCCAAATCCCACAGATGATCCAGCTGAAGTTAATTAAATGTCTCAAATATCAGAAAGAAAATCCTCAAAACTTTGGCTTGGCCTGGTTCTGATTTTATCCAAACCAAATTCTCATCATTGTAAAGCTCTTCAGAGTTGAATCCTAGAAACAAATGACACACTCATACACCTGTATCAATTCAACAAGCTGTAAAAATGCTCTGTCACATCAGCCACTTGAAATGGACCCTCTACAGATAGTGCAGGAAGAGGAATTCAACTGACAAGAGCAAAGCACAGTCCTTGCCAAGGAGAGGTCAGTATACAACAGAGGAACTCATGTATTCAGTTTACCTTTGGTGTGGGTGTGGGCGACTGGCCAAATGTGCTGGATGCATAGCCACAGAGAAACTACATGAAGCACAGGTGAAAACAAAACAAAACAAAACAAAAGACAGAGAAGAGCACACAGTGAAAAGAAGGAATAACCAAAATGGAAGCCTGACATTGTTAGTCTTGGGGATCCTGTTAAAATATCTCATGAACAAAATGCATTCATTCTTAGATTTTTATCTATCCCCCTCCTGGCTTTTCCCCTTTGTCTCCACATTCACAGCCATGAACCTGAGGGAACCACTACTAGCCAGCTCTTGTTTCCTGAAAACAGCTCTTCTTCACCTTTTAGCCTCACTCATTGTCCATCCAGTGTCAGCCATTCCCACTCCTCTCCCTCACACATCCCTGCTCTCCTGAGACCACTGCTCTCCATACACAGCAGTTGGGAAGATGCCAGGGAAAAAACAAATTTTCACAAAGATTCAGAAGAAATCCCTCCCTTCCTCCTTAATTTCAACCCAACAAGTCAGATCTTTTCTATAGAGTCAAAATTTTTGCCAAGGAGAAAGCCCCCAAATTTCCTATTTCTTTTTCCTTTCACTGTTTTCCATCCTCCACCACTCCTTCTCCCTGTTCCTTGAGCAAGTAGTGCTGTCAGACCGTACCAGCTGACTCCTCAGAATAAAGCTGTAGAATCCCCACTGAATCCACCATTTCATCTGGCACCACTCACAACAATGCTCCAATTCAGCAGACACATGGATTCAGGAAACACAATGAGCAAAATGCCTCACTGATTTAGCCCTCAGCATAGCAGGCACCTGGCTCTTTTTAAGGGAAGCTGTTCAGTTTGATTGACCTGGGCCGAGTGTCTCTGGAAGGTTTTTCCATGGATTGTCTCACTGATGCTTGGGGAAGTCATGCACACTTCCAAGAAGAGCCTTTGCTCCAGCTCTTTGCTGCATGCAGTCAATTCCCATGAGTCATGCTCACCTGTTCCTTCTTTTGGGGAACAGAATCATAGAATCATGGAATGGTTTGGGTTGGAAGGGACCTTAAAGGTCATCTAGTTCCAACTCCCCTTCCATAGGCAACCTAGACTAGGTTGCACAAAACCCCATCCAACCTGGTCTTAAACACTTCCAAGGAGAGGACAGCCACAAATTCTCTGGGTAACCTGTTCCAGTGCCCCACCACCCCTACAGTGAAGAATTCCTTCCTTATATCTTATCTAAATCTCCATTCTTTCACTTTAAAATAATTACCCCTTGTCCTATCACTACAATTTTATGTCTATCAGGATAGGATCCTCATCTTATCAGACACTTTTAAGAAAGGTACTGCAGAGATTATTGAGTTTTGATGGAAAGCAATGAGAAAATTATCTCAGCCTTATGCTTGTCTGAGCAGTTTTGTTTGCATGGTGTTGGGGGTTTGTGCTCTCCCAGTTCACACCAACACTGTGCATCATTATGGGAGCCAGTACACAATGTTTGCTCCTCTTCCAGTTCCATTCCAGTCAGGTTACAAACCTCCCATTCAAAAAATAAAAGCAGAGATCATTAAAGTATCGAAGCACAGGGACTACTACTCAGGACAGATTCTGAAGATGTTTAATGGAGCTATAAAATAAAAGGTTTATTTCAAAAAATGTGCTCTTATGTTTTAAGAGGTCTCAGGTCCTAGACAATGCATAGGTGAAAATCTCAATTTTGCTGTTGCATACTTCCAGCATCTTTTAAAGACACTTAGGAGGTGTCCTCATGAAGAGGTCTGCATGACTGTGCAAACCTAGGAGCTCCCTCTTGTAGGTTCCTCAGAGTGCACCTCTGCTCTGCTCAAACAAGCAAGAAATCATGTCTGAGGTGAACTGCAAAGCTTGCACCAAAAGTAAAAAGCAGTGAGGAACAAGCAATAAAAGCAAAGTAAATGGTAGCACTGATGCTAAGGGAGTTAGCACCTAGT